ATATAGAAGCATTTTTTGCTGTCTACAATTTAGAATGCCTTGAATTTTGAATATTAATAGACTAATAAATCAACGTGCGTGTACTCTTTGTGTGATTTAATGTTAGCCTACTTGATAATGTCAGATCGCATATCATTACAACAACACTTGCCATATTATCGCAGATATACTGTATATCGCACACCCAGACTCGACTTCAGTGGAAACTGAAATCATCCGCGGTTGTGCGCGCACTTGTTTGCAGATGAGCAAAGGTGTTTTTAGGAGTCTTAACTTGCAAGCGCCAGACCACTGATTCGTCAAACCTGCTTTCCTGCAGTTCGTGTTCTTCTGACTCCTGACTGTTTTGTAGCAAGTAACGAATATGCTTCGGGGAAATGTATCGGCGTAAAAAGTATACATTTTAATTAGGAAATGTAGTGGAGTAAAAGTAAAAGTTGGCTGAAATATAAAAACTCAAGTAAAGTACAGATACTCCCCAAAAAAATACTTAAGTAGCCTACTGTAACAAAATATTATTACTTCGTTACATTACACCACTGCTTTCAAGACATATTTCAATATTTTCATCCCAAAAAATACTTAAGTACTGTAACGAAGTATTACTACTTCGTTACAGTACACCACTGCCATTTAATTACCATTGAACAATATGTGTTTAAACACCTTATCTGACAAAAGCCTTTATGAGGAAAAGTGAAGTATCTGAACTTTTGACGTAACTCAAATAGTTTACTCTAGACTCTTCTGATATGGCAGGTGCTATAGTGAAATTGTATAGTATATTACTAGTATTTGTTGATTATTAGCTTGATTCCGTACCCTTTATGACTCTCCACAGAGATGTGAAACTCTTCTGCTGCTCGGGGCTTAAAGTCAACACATGATTTCAGTCTGAACTGCTCGAAGGCTCTCAGAATGACTCCTCTGTCGTTCATACCTATAAAAACAAACAAAACTGAGTGGACAACAATAGAAAAGTTACATTCAATATTTAAAAGTTGAGAAATCTGAAATCTTACTGAGATTTACACTCAGCTCATAGGGGACAGGAATATCCCACAAGGACTGATCACCAATAGCGCTCCCTTGCCTAGGCTTTAAAGCAGATCAATTTAAGTGCTCTGATTACACGCGCGCACGCACACACACACACACACACACACACACCTCCATAATGTCTCCTTCTATGAGATTTAAACCTAATGCCACAAGAGAGTTCAGTTCACAGTAAATATGCATGAATAAAAGTATTTCAGTTAATACATTTTTGAATAAAATAATAATTTCTAAACAGAAATAGAGAAAAAGTTACCATACCGCTAATATAAATGTATTTGGGTTCTTGAGATAATATAATAGTTTTACCTTTGTTTATATCCGGAATGCTCTTCCATTTCTCTAAAATGTCTTTGAGAAAATTATATTGAAGTCAGCAAAAGACAAAGAGAGGGAATGAGTATTGTGTGCATTGCTAGAGAAAATGTAACTCTATGAAAGTGAAATGATAAATGATAAATGACAGCATCAGGCAGTAACGAGCAGTTAAAACAGGGTACAGAACATCCTGCGCCCTGGAAACTGATCACAATAACTGAACTTACAAGTTTCCTCGATTGTGACCTGAGAACATGAGATATGAACACAATGCTCAGTTAAAAGGAAAAATAGATTAGTCTAAAAAATCAGCTGTATATTGCTTCATCAATGACTGTCTAACTTACCGCAGGTAAAGCATGATGAAGAGCCAAAGCCATCAGCAGAAGAAAAGCACATGGATGCATTGTCACTGGAAATCAGAATGAGCACATGTGATTGACAAACCTTCATCTTATCACTCAGAAACCTGCAGGCATTGTTTAAATTTAATGTAGCTATATATACTAGAAGACCACTAATTCAGGAAAAGAGGGACACCTACCAGTTTCCAGTCACTAATGAGACCGGTATGTGTTCAAGTGTGAAGAGAGTGAGTCTTTTAAGCTTCATCCACCCCACGGCACTCCCCTAAAACCCACCCTGAAGCTGACTGGAAAAACTGGCTTGATTGAAAAATGAAAATGACAGAAGAGGCTGTCTGTTTGCTCATTTTGGACTTGACTTAAATATTTCAGACTCACGCATTGCTTTGTGTTGAAGGAACACTCCACTATTTTTGAAAATAGGCTAATTTTCCAACTCCCCTAGAGTTAAACAGTTGAGTTTTACCGTTTTCGAATCCATTCAGCCGATCTCCGGGTCTAGCGGTAGCACTTTTAGCTGTAGCTTAGCATAGATAATTGAATCTGATTAGACCGTTAGCATCTCGCTCAAAAATGACCAAAGAGTTTCTATATTTTTCCTATTTAAAACCTGACTCTTCTGTAGTTACATTGTGCACTATGACCGACGGAAAATGAAAAGTTGTGATTTTGTAGGCCGATACGGCTAGGAACTATACTCTCATTCCCGCGCAGCAAAGTGCCTTGATTATTACGCCGGAATGAGAGGATTTGAGAGGAAATCAGGACATTTTCACACATGTAAGACACATCTTCTGGTTTAGATCAGTGGTGTTGAGAAATAAAGCAGCAGACAGTAGATAGCATTGAGATCATGTGCATTTAGCCTCATTCCAGCACAAGCTGCTGGTTATGATGAGAAGATGAATGTGTGGCATTTAAAGCATGCATATTTGACAGTAGTCCAACTCCAAGCTAATATGCAAATTGTGTTTATTTTAAGCCATTCTCACTGTTTTTCTCATGGTGCGTCACAGAAAAGTTGTTCTCCAAGCTTTCAAAATGGTCCCATACAATAGACCTTGGTCTTTTTACTCCACTCATCATAAAGATGTCATGTATGTCAAGATGTCAAATTACTAGGGCTTTCAATTGATTAAAATGTTTCATATAATAAATTGCACAATGTGGCAATTAATTACTTGAAGTAATCACAAATAAGTCATGCATGGGCATCATTAGACCCTTCTTACTGGGACATGACTTTGTACGCAGCACTGTGTGTGTGAGTGAGTGAGTGAGTGCGTGAGAGTGAGTGAGTGAGTGAGTGAGTGAGTGCGTGAGAGTGAGTGAGTGAGTGAGTGCGTGAGAGTGAGTGAGTGAGTGAGTGCGTGAGAGTGAGTGAGTGAGTGAGTGCGTGAGAGTGAGTGAGTGAGTGAGTGCGTGAGAGTGAGTGAGTGAGTGAGTGCGTGAGAGTGAGTGAGTGAGTGAGTGCGTGAGAGTGAGTGAGTGAGTGAGTGCGTGAGAGTGAGTGAGTGAGTGAGTGCGTGAGAGTGAGTGAGTGAGTGAGTGCGTGAGAGTGAGTGAGTGAGTGAGTGCGTGAGAGTGAGTGAGTGAGTGAGTGCGTGAGAGTGAGTGAGTGAGTGAGTGCGTGAGAGTGAGTGAGTGAGTGAGTGCGTGAGAGTGAGTGAGTGAGTGAGTGCGTGAGAGTGAGTGAGTGAGTGAGTGCGTGAGAGTGAGTGAGTGAGTGAGTGCGTGAGAGTGAGTGAGTGAGTGAGTGCGTGAGAGTGAGTGAGTGAGTGAGTGCGTGAGAGTGAGTGAGTGAGTGAGTGCGTGAGAGTGAGTGAGTGAGTGAGTGCGTGAGAGTGAGTGAGTGAGTGAGTGAGTGAGTGAGTGTGTGTGAGTGTGCGTGCGTGCGTGCGTGTGTGTGTGTGAGTGTGTGTGTGTGTGAGTGTGCGTGCGTGCATGAGTGTGTGTGTGTGAGTGAGTGTGAGTGAGTGAGTGTGTGTGAGTGAGTGAGTGAGTGAGTGAGTGAGTGAGTTTAGTGAAAGTCATTATGTAATGAGAGGGTTTTTCGAAAAGAGATACTAGAAGATTACACTGTTTTATCCACTGCGGGGGAAACTGGCTTCCATATTTGGGACAGATTTTTATAGAAATAATTGATTAAATGCACGTCTCAAAATTACATGATGCAGAGAGCATACTAGTCGCATCTGTATTTTTATGCAAATTTGTTCCTAATGCAGAACTTGGGTTGTTGTGTAATTATGACTATTTATTAATCAGTTTTACTTCTCTGCTCACTTGATATGTTTGTGTATATAACTTTCCTTTATTTGTTTATCTGAAAGGTGGATGTTACAGTGGAAAAAGAAAGCGAATGAGGATTGAAGCCACCTTTGATGCCTTGACCAAGGCCAGTTTTCACAAGAAGCCGAGATACAGCTTGAAATGCAGGCGGAGCAACATGAACATGAATTAAGGCTCTTTGATATCTTTGTGAATGCTTTTGCCACCAGTCAACACTCATCGCATGGGCATCTTGCACTGCTTTAAATCTGCTCTAACCGCTGGTTGAAGTACTTCTGCTCCCTTGTTAGGTTTCCATTGTCATAATAAGATTTAATGAGCCAACTCAACAACGGGCAAGCGGGATCCCCCAGCAACAGTAGAGGCAGGGCTGTTCCTGATATGTTTTCTGTCACCTTAAAAGTATAAAAACAAAAAACGCAGGCTAGTGTTACAATAAAACGGAACTCTGAGACTTTTGCAGACTACAGTACATAATGTCATTGCAAAACACCGACGGAAATGCATGAGACTTACGGCTGGAAAAAGCTCTCCACGTTCCACCAGATTAAATATCACAGTGTTTATGTTTGTGAACCTAAAAGTATAAAGTCAAGTCAAGAGATCCGGGGCCTGTTCCATAAAACAAGTTTAGCAAATAAGCCAGGCTTATTTGCTAAACTTGTTTTATGGAACAGGCCCCTGGTGAGATCCAGATACAGAAGCCACTTGATGTTGACAAGTGTAAACGTGTTGTGTGCTGATTGGCTGATGATCCCATCACGGTTCAGTTACTAAAAACATACTGCAACATGTTACCTGTTGATTGGTGCATATTTGTGTTTTTTAACATGCACTAGTAAAATAGTTATTTTCTTTCTTATTTTTGCTATGAAAAAATGCATCAAATCAAAAATGTAAAAAAAAAAAAAAAAAAGGCTTGTTATTGAGGGGAGAAAAACTTTTCTTTTTAAACCGAATCTTTCATATTAGATGTGCTACACACTCTTTCAATCGCAGCTCTTTTCAGCACATTTGATAACAGATGATGTATTTCACCAGTTATTTAGCTCTCAATAGCTCTGACAGTTGTTTTATTATTATAGCGTGTAATGTACACGTCTCGTGCAGTTTCGTGATTTTAGCGCGTGAACGGGACCTTTATTTTGCTGTGGCGATCTATGACGTCATAAGGCGGCGCCTTGCTCCTGCTGATCTCCGAGTAGGCTGAAGACGTTTGTGTTTTTAAGCATTTAAAGTGTATTGATACATGGATTTTATAGATACAGCCGATTTTATAGTTTTAAAAGGCGATGTAAATGAAACGATTATTTTTGAATGTAACTTTAATGTTTTCTCTAACATTAATGATCGTTATTTTTCGTAACAGAAAAGGTCCGTCTCATTTCGCTCGCTATTTGAATCAGTTGATCGTAAACACGGATTCGATCACTGGCACGTGAAAATCCGAATCAACTGAACCGGAACGATTCAGAGATTCGAATCTCTGAATCACGACTCCTGCTCAAAACAGTGTACAAGCAACACAAACATGTGCGATGACAACTAATACAAACAACAGCAAATGTTTTAAAGTAGAATGTAATAAATATAATTAACAAGTCAATGATTACCAGATTTAAGACCTAACTAAAATATTGTGGTTCTGTATAATGTACGTTCATTTATTAATTTGCAGTGCTGGTTTTGATTGTTTATGTTTTTGGGCTAATCAGGCCATTGACTGACTCCCTTACTAGTGCGCTGACTACTGAAATGAGGAGCTGATTGAGACGCACCCAGAGATTTAGTTTGCATTCATTTTTCTGTCTGTTACCTTTTCTCATCTTAAACACACAGAAAAACTCCTGCTGAAGCGACTGAGACACACGTGACACACGATTATAAAGATGGAGTTTATTAAAGAGGAGAGTGAAGACGTGAAGATTGAAGAAGCATTCAGAGACAAACATGAAGATACTGAGACACAAACAGGTTGGTTTTCATTCTCAAAGCTGAACTCACTCATTTGATCCTTATTAAAATGTCCAGCTCTACAGAAATGATATTGATATTTAAAACAAAACAAAACATTAAAACATAAATAAAACCAAAAAAAAACATTAAACCCAATATCTACTTCTGCGTTGAAAACAATGAAGACCGTTCATTTGCATCACTTAATTGTACAACAGTATCCAACAAAAACATTTAATTTGCATAAAGCAAACAGTGAAAGGAGCTAAGCATAACTGTAGCCAAGTTTCCATCCAGTTTTTGCGCTTTTTTGTTATCAACAAAGATAATATGCGTAAAAAAGACGTTGCGAAATTTGCTGCCTGTTTCCATCCAACTGGCCTTTTACCGATAAAATGGTGTGCGTGATGACGTCATCCCTAAAAAAACTAATTGTCGCATAAGTTTTGGTGTATCGCAAAAAAATTGCCCTTGAGCTGTTTCCATACATAATTTCACCTATTGCGTAAATTATATAGGCTAGAAGCCTGTTCTTTTAATCAATTTGAAACAAAACTTTATTATATAGCCTATTATTAACCCCTCAACTGTCACCCCCCATTTTTTAAAGTAGGCAATAAAGTGCACTATCCAAACTTAAATTGTTGTAATTTATGAACACTTTAAAAAGAGACCAACCGTAGGTCTGTATTCCAAAGAAGAAAATCAGCAGATTATTGCAAAAGTGGAATTTTTTTCAAATATCAAAAAGTTATAGACGTCTAAATTTACTGTAAAGAAAATGCGCTATACTCATTTTATTTTATATATAGTAAATATTTTACATAACAGGTTTTACTCTAAAATTGGTATAAAATTAAAGCCTTATGTTTAAATAAGTTATGTTCCAAATTTGAAGTTGATATGAAAAAAATGGAGGTTCCTGTGAGATTTTATTTAGGGCGTCATACCACAAACAGCCACCGGGCTATCAAAACTCCATTCAATTTTTTATGCATTTTTCTGTCACATATGTCTAGATTTCTCTGTAAATCTTACTTTTATCTCAAAATAACCACCAAATATGGAATCATGAGACTCAGACCTTTCCAATGATATGTATTTTGTCAAGATTATAAAAAGTTTTGATTGTAAAATATCGTTATACATTTTGTAATATGACACTTGACTCCGCCCACTAAGGAGGAGGAGACCGCCAAAAGATTTTAAAGTACCATTTCCATGGTAACGGTATTTAGATACTTGATCATCAAGCAATATTCATAAGCAGGTGCAGTTGTATTATTATTTTGCTGATTAACTTTTATTAGACCATATTGGAAATAGGAATGTTCATTTCGGTTATTTTATTTCTCCTAACCGACAACCGACGGTCGTTAAGCCATAACTAACCGTTAACCGACAAGATTATGTTAAATTACAATTAAATGAAATTTCAATTGATACGTGGCTGTGACCCATTAAAAATAACTAAATTTGTTTTCCAGGGATTCATTTTATACATGCAAAAAGCAGCATAAACAACAGAACGTGAGGATTCACATGGTCACGCACCTGCAAGCTTCTGCGAACCGAGAAAAGCATTATAAAGCTATATATAAAATAAATAAATAGGTCTATATGCAAAATATATTTTTCTAAGTAATTAATAAATTAACAAAACGAAAGAAAAAAACTGCTCAATAAGTAGCAGCCTATATGCAGAATTTCGGCTCATTTTTGTGATGCGCTTTTGAGAAAGCGGCATCCTGTTAGTTTCCTTTATTTTACAAAAGCACAATGTTTGTTTTTATTGTGGATGTACACAAATAAAATAAATATTTAGAATAGTTTCGAATAATGTCTTATTCTTATATGACCACAAATGAACGAGTATTGTAGGCCTAAGTTGTTTTATAAACAATAATATGAATATGATTTAATGCGCTCTTAAACTACAGAGAAACGGTGCTTTAATGTGAGCAACACCACGAACACAGACGCTGCCTATAGGCTAATTCTGTCATGTGACACCACATTTATTTGCGTCAAAGCCCCTTTTCTCGACAAAAAGTGTTTCCAAACATTTGAAGTATCGATATAGAATTTATGGGCTAAAGTTGAACGGAAAAAGATTGTGTCTGCACGTGAGAAATGCGACAAATGGCATTTCCATCAGCTATAATCGGTAAAAATTTTGAAGCGCTAAATATTTTTGCACAAAAAATCCTTGGATGGAAACCTGGCTTGTGATCCTTTGCTGAAAAACCTGTTGCATACAATCTACCACATGAGCAAACTCACTTCGCATGATGAGGAAAATCATGTAAACGTTTTAGCATTTTAAGTTTTGTTCATGGGTCAAAGACGAAAAGGGTGTTTCAACCATCAAGAAAATAAAAGTGAAATACAGCTTTAAATTTATTTTTTTCTGAACAAAATATAATGACTATCATGCGTTTTTTTTTACCATATTTGACAGAAGACACACTAAAATGTCGTTCAGTGTAACAATATTTATATAACAAATAATCTTATTAGGCATATTTAAAACATGAATCATTTGATGACATATTAAAATGTAAGCATCACAGTGCAGCCCTCAAATGTCAATTAACTTTCTTTTTTTATTTTTTTGAGTTTTTGTAAGAAAGTGAAAGTCATTTAAAATATAATATAATTTAGTATGATCTCACATTCTTTTTTGTATTTTAATATATTTCAATAAACACGGGTCATGCATCCTAACTAGACAGATTGATATCCCTGACATTTAACTGACATTTAACTGTGTTTTACTGTGATGATTAGGTGTTCCCTTAGTCTCAGTCTCAGACGTCACGCCCACGGACCGCTGGCTGAACGTCTGATGCATGTGGCACACAAAAGTGGAAACACTTCAGGAGTTTCGAAGTCATCATCGGATTGGTTAGATTATACAGGATTTCCGTGAGACTTGTGTGTCGTGTTCTTTAACTTTCCGCCTGGAAACAAAAGCCGCTTTTCCACCGAAATTACCTGGAACAATTTGTCCCAGGAACTTTTTTTCCTGCAGACTTGCTGCTGTCTGCGTTTCCATCGTGGTCTAAAGTACCGAGAAGATTAGGCTAATAGTCTGGTGACGTAGGTCAGCGCACGTTTCTCAATACCAAGTACGCAAATTTCAGACTTGCGTCCTCAGTCCAATTCGACTTCGGGAGTGTGAACTACGTCCGGTAATTCTACAAACAGCAGCATACTTCAGTCAGCTCGCCTTGGCTACTGCAATTTCCCTCATTGTATTTACAATAAGACGAAATATGATATCAAACACCACTGCCTATTTTCGTTTTATTTAAACATATTAATAGCTGCAGAAATGTTGTTCAGGGAACGTACATGCATTACAATGAAACAAAATATTATATGAATCAGCATTGCTTCTTTTTATTTTCATTGAACATATTAATAAATAATATAATAAAGACCAAATATTACCTGTTAGATTTACCCAAAACAAATTATGTCTCATGTTTAACTACTACAGAGTCATCAGAGCCAGTGGCAAATGTCAGAAGGATTAGTGGAGTTGAGGCTGCTCTCGTCGGGAAACATGAGCGCTGATCGCCTGGAGCTCACGTCTCCGAAATCAGCGACGCACATTTTCAAATAGGTGCTATCTTTATAAATAAACTGCAGATTTGAGTTTTAAACAACTACATTCTTGCCTGAAATACTTTTAAAACTACATTCCATGACACATTAACAGTAATATTTAAAGAAAAAAAATGCAAATATATGGTGGTTGAAATACAATGTTGCTTGAACTCAACCAATCAGCGTGCTCAGCGCCGAAGTCCCTCCCCCGAAAGTTCCGGACCTTTGAAAAAATACTTCCTCGCGAGCAGGGTCTTTCTGAGGGGCAAATTTTTACCCGGAACTTTATTTAGATCCTGGTTCCTGCGGTGGAAACACACCGAGTACTGGCCCAAAGTCCCTAGCTCCTGGGGAAAGTTCCTGCGGTGGAAAAGGGGCTAAAGATGCCGTGGCTCCAAACCCCCTCATGAAAGAAGAAAGCCGTCGTGTTTGCAACTGTGAAGACGAGCGCTTATCAGGATCAACTAAACGCTGGATTTTCAAAAGTATGTGAAATATACTTTAAAATAAAGTTTGCGGCATAGAATCTATAAAATACGTCCGAGAGTTTTACACACCAGTCTGTTATTGTGGGGACATTTCCACGCCCTGAAACGTGATGCTGAACGAAAGGAACTGTGATTGGTTGTTTGACATGTTGGTCAAACGGCCTCATGGGTGGGCCTCGGCCAATGAAAGCTGCCATGGATAGTAGTGTATAAATCGCAGTATTGTGGTCACAATTATGAAATCAAATCATAATGTCCCCTTCAGGGGAAGCATAATCAAGGAGAAAACCAGAGGACCTAATGCTCAGCCCTGTTGCACACCATACTTGTGTTTGATGAGATATTTCTTTATATACAGTACAAGTGGTAGCAATCTGAAAGACAGGACCTAATGTAATAGCTCTAGAAGAAATATGTAACTTTAGTAAGAAGTTTCTGTGCTACGGTGGGGCTTAAATCCTGACTGAAATTTTGTTTTTCTGCAAAACTGTGTATAGTAGAAATTTTATACATGAATCACAAATTTGTTATTGTTCTATAGTTCTCATGAGTCAGGTAATAAAGGAGTTTTGTTGGACTACTTTGTTTTTTTGGGGGTGGGGTGGGGCTGTCCTAAAGTTAACGATATTGAGAAGATATTCTCCTGTTTCAGTAACTTATTGCCTGTAGGGTCTAGCATTCATGTTCTTGCTTAGGATGCTTTATGTTGGTTTGGATTTCTGTTGCTTTGTGCAATTAAACTGTTCGACTTTTCTTTTTCTTTTTTTTTTGTTTACTTTAGACCAGATGGTGTTGAATGAGGAACGTCAAGAACTGAATGAAAGAGAAGAGAAAACTCAGTATGAGAAACATGATTTCATGACTAGAGAAAAATCCACAAAGACTGAGAAGACTTCCTCACAAAAAAGAGGTCATAAAACCAAATCCAAGGGTTATTTCACTTGCCATCAATGTAGAAAGAGTTTTAATCTAAAACAAAACCTTGAAGTCCACATGAGAGTTCACACTGGAGAGAAGCCATTCACATGCCAACAGTGTGGACAGCATTTCAGTCAGAAAGGAAACCTTAAAAAACACATGAGAATTCACACTGGAGAGAGGCCCTTTATCTGTCAAGAGTGTGGAAAGAGCTTCACAGTAGAACTAAACCTTAAGTATCACATGAGAATTCACACTGGTGAAAACACTTTCACCTGCCAAGAATGTGGGAGAAGTTTCACTCAAAAACAAAGCCTCAAATTTCATATGAGAATTCACACCGGAGAGAAGCCTTACACTTGCACTCAGTGCGGAAAGAGTTTTGCTCAGAAAAACACCCTTAATTATCACATGAATACTCACAATGGAGAGAGATCTTTCACCTGCCAACAGTGTGGAAAAAGTTTCGCTCACAAACATAGTCTTAAAGTCCACATGAGAATTCACACTGGAGAGAAACCTTACACTTGCACTCAGTGCAGAAAGAGTTTTGCTCAGAAAAACACCTTGAATTACCACATGCGCAGTCACACTGGAGAGAAACTGTTCACATGTGATCAGTGTGAAAAGAGCTTCACAACAGAAGTAAACCTTAGGTATCACATGAACATACACACTGGAGAGAAGCCGTTCAAATGTGATCAGTGTGGAAAGAGGTTCACACGTAAAATAAGCCTTAATAACCACATGAGGAATCACTCAGGAGAGAAATCTTTTATATGTCATCAGTGTGGAAAAAGTTTCAGTCATAAAAGTAGCCTCAACACTCACATGAGACTCCACACTGGAGAGTACTCCTGCAAACTATGTGGGAAGAGCTTCTCACAAATAGGAAATCTTAAGATTCACATGAGAATTTGCACAGGAGAGAAGCCATTCAAATGTGCGGAAAATGATTAACACGAAAGGAAAACCACACGAGGATTCACACAAGGGATTTATGTCATCAGTGTGACACAGACAAGCAGTTAAACAGTTAAAGTAAACCTTTAAACTTGCATCAGAGTTTACACCAGAAAATGTGCTTCTGTGTGAAATTAAGGCAACTTTTACATTTCAGCTGAACATGGACCCAATCTGAATGTCCACCTTCACCCTGCCCAGCCATATCACCCTGCAGCCCAAGACTGGTTGCCCACTGAAGCTAAGCAGGGCTGAGCCTGGTCAGTACCTGGATAAAGGGGCGCCAGGTTAGGATGATGTCAGGGGCCTGGTGAGGGAGAGGGGGCCCATTTTTTTACTGAGGGGGAGCCGAGTCAATATGATGTTCAGGGGCCCCGGAAACTATAGCGATTCCCCTGTGTGGGTCCTAATGCCCCAGTATAGTGATGGAGACACTATACTGTCAACAAGCACCGTCCTTCGGATGATATGTTAAACCGAGGTCTTGACTCTCTGTGGTCATTAAAAATCCCAGGATGTTCTTCGAAAAAGAGTAGGGGTGTAACCCCGGCATCCTGGCAAAAATTGCCCATTGGCCTCTGACCATCATGGCCTCCTAACCATCCCCATATCTGCTGATTGGCTTCATCACTCTGTCTCCTCTCCACCAATAAGCTGGTGTGTGGTGGGCGTTCTGGCACAATATGGCTGCCGTCGCATCATCCAGGTGGATGCTGCACACTGGTGGTGGTTTAAGGAGTGCTTAGAAAAGCGCTATATAAATGTAAAATATTATCGTTGTTGTTATTATTATTCATGACCACTTTGTAAGAATTCTTGTATCCACACCTGACCGTCTCCTTTGATTGCATGGAGGCAGTGCTCCCTTTCAGTTATTGATAAGAATCATAAAATTGGTTAAACTTCTATCTTGCTGCTAAATGCCACGATGTTTCTGAAAGGTTAAAAATAAAATGACAAACTGAATAAAATAATGAACATTGCACTGAATTATTTGATTCATGCTTAGTCAGAGAATAGACTGGTAAACGTATGTAAATGGCTTCTGTTGGGGTTCATCTGGTGACATCTGGAAGCTGCTTCCAGCTGCATGTTCTGTAATATCTATTTATGTTAAGCACAAACAGTGGCAGATACTATTTAGACCTCAGTGTATTGTAGCGCATTATACAACAGTATGCAATAATAACATATTCTTACATATTCTCCACATGGTCTGAGTTTGGAACTCCGTAAAGTTTTTTCTTAATCCTGTATTTTTATCTTGCATTTAATTTTATAATCTATCATTCTCTGTTTCTTCAATGGGTGAACATATCCCGACAGCATTCTGCATCAAAAACAACTAGAACACTTTGGTATCACTAGTTTTATTCGATTTCATGAACGTCCACTATTAGCTTAAGGTCCATCAGCATCACTAGCCTGTTCCCGACTACCGCTTTGGAACATCAGAGTCTGCGTATACACTTGGCATTAACATGCAACCTGTATCTGGATGTTGTCCACATACACACTGAAAAGACAAGTGTAAATGCGCTTCTGATCTAAATGTTATCCGATCAGTGTGTCCATGTCCAGAGGTAGTCGAGGACGCATTGTGGTCGGATCTTAGCCCTGCAAACAAGCCCGCACTGGGTCTGTTTATGTTTGGTGTGGGCTGGCCCTAACCCACTGTGCCCGCAAAGAGCCAGCATGGGCCCCGCAGGGACATGTTTGCAAGGAGTGTAATGTAAACGCAATCCAGCTATCGTGTCTGCATTCGCAGGTCGACGTCACACAAAACCCGCCCCCTCTCTCCCAAACTGTTAAAAGAGAGACGGAGAACACCAGGCTGTGGAGCGCTAGTGAGAACCTTTTGAGCTCTTTGTGAAACTCTGCAAATTAATCAACCGACTTTAAGAATTTATATAGTCAGATATTTTCTCTCTGCTGCCTTCTCAAACCTTTGCTGCAGCAACAGTGTTTATTCCTTGTAAATACTGAACGGGCTGATTTGACTCCTATTATAAAATGAGTACATCATTACATAGTGTTCTTAAAACTAGTGCATCTGTAATGGTATTTATGTTACAAGCAATGTCTGTATTTGGTACCTGAGCGGTGACTGAGGGTCTGACCCATGGCAGGAAAACAGTACCAGTGTTTACTCATTTAGCCCAGCTTACACAGAGTAAATACCAATTAGTTTTGTAATAATTCATTTGAATCATTATATAATCAAATGTTAGAGTTATCAGTTTGAGCTGTGTTCTTATTTTATTATGTGGTTTTCAGGATAGCCGTATGAGACATGTGAAGACCAACAAGCTACATGTATTCATTAACTCTTACGTATGCTTAATGTTTATGATTCTTTTTAGGGTTTATAGCACCATTAATTGCTAAATGTTAAACCGTGACAGTGACTCGTGCATGCTCTGTGTGAATGTATTGTCTTGTTCCTGTGATGTGCTGCAGGGAAGAGATTGCCTATGTTTATCTAATGGCATTTTTCCAGGGGGTTGTTTAGGAAAATATGTATAGGAACATTCTGCAGGAGAATCAACAGATGCCCAGATGAGAAGTGCCCTCACCAGATTTATGACTCGCTTACAACAACAGATGTACAATAGTTGCTTATGAGTGGAGTTTAGTGTCTCCAAGATACTGTTTTTTAAGAAAAGTAACAGAAGTACTGCATGATAAATGCTTCATTCTGTGTCTGTGGCAGGCAACCCTTACTCAAAGTGTCCTCAAACATATCAGTAAAGACAGAGCTAATTTATTAGATAAAAAAAAAAAGGGGTCATATGATGTTGCTAAAAAAGAACATTATTTTGTGTATTTGGTGTAATGAAATGTGTTTATGTGGTTTAAGGTTCAAAACACATTATTTTCCACATACTGTACATTATTGTTTCTCCTCTATGCCCCGCCAGCTCATCAGTCTGAAAAGCGAGGTGTGCTCTGATTGGCCAGCTATCCAGTGCGTTGTGATTGGCTGAATACCTCAAGTGTGTGACGGAAATGTTACGCCCCTCACCATACTGTGATGCCGTCTCCCGACATGATGAGACAAAAACATTAAAGAGCAGGTCATATGGTATCTTCATATGGCGCAGCAGCCTAACTAACTCGCTCCTTGTACACATAACGTATCAATCGTACTTACAGGTTGTTGTTCGGAGAGCTTGTTAGTCCAAATTAAGAAGATTAGAAGCCAACGAAGATAAAAACCAAGATTAGAGCAGTCCTTGATAAAATGATGAGCACACAACAAAAGGTTCAAATTGTATTTATGTGCTATCCTTGAACACAGCGTCTTCTCAACATGATGTAAACACACTAACTAGCGGAAGTGTTTGTGGGCAGGTCAGACTCACGGGCAGGCCGGGATTATGCAAATGTGTTACCCAGTGACATATACCGGTAACAGGCAAAAGATTCGAAAATATGACAACTCGTTAAGGCGATTCAGAATCGACTCTCTCTTTTGAGAGACATGAAACACACAGCGTCTTCACGACATGGCTATGAATAAAATGAATAAAAGTTATGCCTTCTTTCTTTGCGTGAACATTTGGGCGGCGTTATGCAAATCTTCCCACACAGTGACGTTCCCACACTGTTTAAAGAGCCATTTTAGGTAGGCGTGGCTGACTCTTAACTTTTATAAAGAATATCTCTTTGGATTTGAGACTTTAGTCTTTGCAACTTTACAGATCTTCTTTATGCACCAAGAGCTTGTAACACTCCAAAGAGAAAGGAACAATTGAAATCGCATCATATGACCCCTTTAAAAAGTTCTGTTTTTTTTTTTAAATCAAAATAAAAAGACATGAATAGACATGAAAAGGCAAAAAACAGTGTGATTTCTGTTTTAATCACAAATCAATTTTCATTTTTTATACCAAACTTTATATAAAGATGATTCTAAACTATGTTATGAAAGATATATATTTTTTTAATTTTCTTTATGCAAAATGTGTGTAAAATGGCCATAAACGAGTTTTTCCATTATATACAATGCATCTATAAACTGTATCTAATTTGCATATTAATGTATTTGTGGGGCAACATAGAATGAACAACGAAGTGAAATAATGGGTGTAATAATTAGCAAGATTTTCATAATATTTAATAGGAATATTGATATATAATTTTTTCTCTAATCATTTGTTGTGTCTCCCAAAATGTGTAATAAACATGCTTTAAGTCCTGGTGTCCTCTACAGTGGACATGTATCAAATCGACATCCTGTTTCATAACAGAAGCTCATATTTTGATTTGAAACCCCATAACATTTTCCTGAGATGTTGATTTATGACAAACAATCAGAAAATTAGTCAGATTTAAATGATAATTACAAAATATTATCATATTTCATTTAGTATCTCTGAAAAGCCCTGAATGTGCTCTGTACAGGACTCCAGACTTACAACTGTGACATGTAACGTCTCAGAGAAATCACTAAAACATAATGTCCTCTACAGAGGACAAAACTCCTCACTAAACTTGTCTCATCACTAGTTTAATATATATAAATGTAGTCATACTAAAGCCTGTTTTTCACTTGTCTATTTTTATTACTAAAAAATATCAGATTACTCAATTGTCAAAATAATCATTAGATTACTTGATTACCAAAATAATTGTTAGTTATGGCTCTAGATTAGTTAACATATTTCAAAATACAACTACATTGTTTTGCGGAGCTCAGCGTTTTGCTTTTGTGATTTAAAAGACAAATATTTTGCAATCGAAAATTTCTTAAAACTACACTCTTAGGCAAGGAAAGGCAAGTTTATTTATACAGCACATTTCATACACAATGGTAATTCAAAGTGCTTTACATAAAAGGAAGTAAAATAATCATAAAAAATAATCACAAAAATAAAACAAGGAATTTATAAACTTTTAAAATGATTTAAAATTGATTTAAAATGAATACAGTTAAAAATAGAAAATTATTATGCATAAAATACAGTGCAGTCAGTTGGGAAGTAGCACAGTGCTCATTCAGTAAATGCACAGCTAAACATGAGTTTTGAGTCTGCATTTAAATGTGGCTAATGTTTTAGCACATCTGATCTCTTCTGGAAGCTGGTTCCAGCTGCGGGCGGCATAATAACTAAAAGCGGACTCCCCTTGTTTTGTGTGAACCCTTGGTATTTCTGACTGACTCGATCCTAATGATCTGAGTGGTCTGTTAGCTTTATATTCTGTGAGCATATGTCATGTATTTAGGTCCTAGGCCATTGAGTGATTTATAAACAAGTACAAGTACTTTAAATTCAATCCTAAATATAACTGGAAGCCAGTGTAAGGACCTGAGGACTGGTGTGATATGCTCAGATTTTCTGGTTCTAGTCAGAATTCTGGCAGCAACGTTCTGGATGAGCTGCAGCTGTCTAATGGTCTTCTTGGGAAGGCCGGTGAGGAGACCATTACAATAGTCCACCCTG